TGCCATGAGGAGGGTCCTGTTCCCCCCGCAGACCCTGGAGAAGAAGATCGTGGTGCTGCCATAGCGGGGCTGAGCCCCTGGACATGAACTGCTCCTCTCTGGGGACAGGGCTGTGCCCTGCAGGATGCCGCTGGCGGTGTCGGGAGGGAGGGAACCTCGCTGGGATGAGGTGTGGGATTAAACTGAGATGTGCTAATCCCTGTGTCCGTGGTGTCTGTGGGGCCGTGCAAAGCTCATGGGTGCCATCGTGGTTGTGTCCCAGACCCTGTGACACCCCCAGGGTGAGCCCTGAGATGGGCAAGCAGCCTGAGCCAGTGCTTCAGGCTCCCTTTGGCTAGGCAGCACCAAACGTGTGACTGTCCCCGAGGGGAGTCAGGAGGGAGGGGGCTCTGCTGTCTGCACCCCCACAGTGGAGTTCTGTGGCCCTCCTTGGCCCTGTACTCACACCACAAGAATGCTGAAGAGTCCAGGGGCTCCCTCACCGCAGGGTCTGAGCATGGGCCCCTCTGGTGTGGCACCAAGAGCCCCTCCATGCTCAGGAGGGGTTGGGACCCTGCAGGGCACCTGGCTGGGACCACCACTCACCACTGTGTGCTCAGGGGTACCCCAACATCAGAGTCACCTCCTCCCTCTGGGCAGGGCAGTCCCCATGAGTGCTGCAGCACCAAGGGCCCCATTCCTGCACACCCACAGTGTGGGGGGAGCAGAGTCCTCAGGGCCCCAGCTTGGTGCCACCTTGCTCCCCTGGCAGCCTAGCCCCACCGTGCCCAGCCCCAGGAGCCCATTTCCAGCTGCCCTGTGTCCTGCCAAGTGTGGGGTGTCCAGCACCCCCTTCCCTGCAAGGCTGGGAGTCCTGACCGTGTCCCCAGCCGGGGTGCTCCTGCTGCAGGATCCCCTTTCCCAGCTCCTGGTGCTCGGGTCTCCGAGCCAGCCCCGGCATTTCCTCACACCCAGCTCCCAGCACAGCAGGGCACGGCCGGGCTGAGAAACCCAAAAGTGCTGAATTTGAGCCCCGAGTCGAGGCTGTGCCTCCCACAGACTCAGAATGGCCCCTCCAGGAGCTGGCTGTCCCCTGCCATCGGGCCACCACAGGGACAAGGTGCTGCTGTCCCCGCATGCCCCTGGTCCTGCCCTGGCACCCAGCGGGCGGGG